GCCGCGTCGAGCGCGCTCGCGTAGACGTAGACCTCGTCGATGGCGCCGATGAGGTAGTAGTCGGACCAGTACCCGAGCCGGAGCAGCTCGTCGGCGTCCGTGTTCAGATACGTGACGTCCTCCGCCGCGGTCGCGAGGCGGCCGTCGAAGTAGAGCGCGACGGACGCGCCGTCGAACGCGAGGCAGTAGTGGTGCCAGCCGCCGTCCTCCGCCGCGGGGATGTCCGCGTCGACGTCGTTCGAGCCGTAGAATTGGATGCGGAACGTCGTGAGCGAGTCCGAGAGCGGCCGGAGGCCGAATTGCTGGTTGTTGAGTCGCGACCCGTAGGAGAAGAAGCCGCCGTCGCACGGGCACGCGACGGCCCCGGCCCACAGGCACACGGTCCTCGCGGCGCCTCCGAGGATGTCCGCCGTCACCTCCGCCGGGAACTCGACGTAGTCGTCGACGCCGTCGAAGGCCAGCGCGCCGCTCCCGTCGGGGCCCGCCGTCGCCGTCGCGCCGTAGATGATGCCGTCGAGGCTGCTGTCGCGCTCCTCGGCGGCCGTGCCGTCGTCGAAGGCGTAGTGCGCGACCAGCCTCGAGTGGGACACGTGCGTCGGCAGCGGCGTCGCCGTCGGCGCGGCCGTCGGCGCGGCCGTGCCGCAGTCGTTCTCGTACCACGCGACCGTGTACGCGTTGTACGCGGCCGACAGCAGGTCCACGTCGCCGTCGCCGTCGATGTCGATCGCGAAGAGAGCGTAGGCGCCGTCCGCCCGCGTCGTGATCACGCGCTCCTCGAAGGACAGCGCGCCGTCGTTCTCGTACCACGCGACGGTGTCGTCCGACATCGACGCCGCGAGGACGTCGACGTCGCCGTCGCCGTCGACGTCGATCGCGCAGGCGTAGACGGCCTGCTTCGCCCCCGTCGTGATGAGCCGCTCCGTGAAGGACTGGGATCCGTCGTTCTCGTGCCATGCGACCGTGTCGTCGTGGTAGGACGCGGCGACGGCGTCAATGTCGCCGTCGCCGTCGACGTCGACGGCGACGACGGAGTAGACGGTCCACGCGGCGTCCGTGATCGTGTGCGTCGTAAACGAGGCCTCGTCGTTCTCGTACCAGAAGACCGAGTTCCGGGCGGACGCCGCCGACAGGAGGTCGACGTCGCCGTCGCCGTCGACGTCGGCCGCGTAGACGTCAAACGCGTGCTCCGCCAGCGTTGTGACGACGCGCTCGGTGAAGGACTGCGATCCGTCGTTCTCGTACCACGCGACCGTGTCGTCTTCGTAGGACCCCGACAGGACGTCGACGTCGCCGTCGCCGTCGACGTCGATCGCGCGGACGGAAGTGGCGGCGTCCGCGAGCGTCGTGATGAGTCGCTCCGTGAAGCCGTGCGAGCCGATGTTCTCGTACCAGGCGACCGTGTTGTCATTCCAGGACGCCAAGAGCACGTCCACGTCGCCGTCGCCGTCGACGTCGACCGCGAAGACGGACCAGGCGCCTTCCGCCGTGTCCGTGACGACGCGCTCCACGAAGGACTCGGACCCGTCGTTCTCGAAGAACGAGACCGTGGACGTAAAGCGAGCCGCCGCCAGCGCGTCGACGTCGCCGTCGCCGTCGACGTCGACGGCGAAGACGGCGATGGCGCCGCTCGCGCCCGCCGTGAGCACGCGCTCGGAGAACGCGACGCTCGCGCAACGGGTTGTGGGCCGCGGCGTCGGGGCGTGCGTCGGCGCGTGCGTGCTGCAGTCGTTCTCGTACCACGCGACCGTATCGTCGTTGGCGGACGCCGACAGCGCGTCGACGTCGCCGTCGCCGTCGACGTCGATCGCATAGACGGAGCGCGGGCCACCCGCCGAGTCGATGATGACGCGCTCGGTGAAGGACTCGGAACCGTCGTTCTCGTACCACGCGACCGTGTCGTCGTAGTAGGACGCCGACAGCGCGTCGACGTCGCCGTCGCCGTCGACGTCGATCGCAAAGACGGCACGAAGTTGAACCGCCAGCGTCGTGATGACGCGCTCGGTGAAGGACTGGGACCCGTCGTTCTCGTGCCACGCGACCGTGTCGTCGTAGAAGGACGCCGACAGCGCGTCGACGTCGCCGTCGACGTCGACGTCGATGGCGAAGACGGAGAAGGCGGCGTCCGCGAGCGTCGTGATGATGTGCTCGGCGAAGACGGGGGGTTCGTCGTCCTCGCCCGTGTCGTTCTCGTACCACGCGACCGTGTCGTCGTTGGAGGACGCCGACAGCGCGTCGACGTCGCCGTCGCCGTCGACGTCGATCGCGAAGATGGAGGTGGCTTGGTCCGCCGAGGCGGTGATGACGCGATTGATGAAGGACTGGGACCCATCGTTCTCGTACCACGCGACCGTGTCGGAGGACGCCGACAGCGCGTCGACGTCGCCGTCGCCGTCGACGTCGATGGCGAAGACGGAGAAGGCATACTCCGCGAGCGTCGTGACGACGCGCTCCGGAAAGACTCGGACCCGTCGTTCTCGTACCAGGCGACCGTGTCGTCC